GGTGATTGAAGACCCATGGAAGAAGTTATTATGTTCAGAATGATGTCCTGAGAATATAAAATAAAATAATGCTAGGGAATTGTTACAGGGTATTTTGGAAGGATGGAGAGAGAGAGAGAGAGCACTGAAGTGTTTTGTCTCACTGTAATTACTCCAGATTATTGAATGGTGTATGATCTACTCGATATTTTCCACAATGGTTTTCCTGATTTGCGGGATCTCTTCCTTTGCTGTTTGCGTGTTTACAGGAAGTGACTGTCAGGTGTACTATAGTATCTGCACCAGATCCTGGGGACATGAAATCAGATGCAGAGGCAGGGTCGTCCAGTGATGCAACACTGCCGTTCTATGTGCAACGTCACTGGTAATTCCCACAGCGAAAACACAAAAAGACAAACACGTCAAGAGACTACAGTATTGACCGTTCTGGGAATGAATCGTGACTGCTCGGACAGTCGATAATCGAAACACAGAGCACCAGCATGATGTTTTGATATTGGGAACCACACACCAGCTCAATTCTCAAGCCCAGAAATTGATGAACACAAAACACAGAGCGACGCAACAAAAGATCATCCGGCAACCAAACCAACCTGGGTCTAATGCACTGAATACTATTCAGTGCATTAGACCCAGGTTGGTTTGGTTGCCGGATGATCTTTTGTTGCGTCGCTCTGTGTTTTGTGTAGTGAATAGTCCTGAAATATGCAGGTCACACAAAGCAGTGCAAGCACATCCTGTTACAAGGTACATGCATTGCAGAACAAAGTGTAACCAAAGATACACGGGGTTATAGCTGCACACTCGTGCACATGCTCGCTCAGCCCAAGAACACGCATGATGATAGAAATAATCCGGGGGAAACACGCTAGCACCGAATTAAGCATCAAGACGTAAATAGTCGTCATCACAAGCCCATAGCCCTAAGGCCGTCGGGGCGTCACAGAGCAAGTATGAACAAGCGAGCGCCATAAAAATCGATCGCGTGCAGCAGCGAGCAGGGACTGCACGTCAAGTGCAGTCCATGAAATAATATTATCAAGCCATGACATTCTGGGCCTGCCTCGGCCACGGCCTCCAGCAACACAACACTGAAGAACAGTCAATGACAAACAGCCGGAACGAACAATATGACCAAAAAATTGCAATTTCCTTTTACGAACAGAAACAATAAGTGGGACTTGTTTGTGAATACTATTAATTTATTTCCTCTCTAACAGCCACAATCGTCCGTAAATAGTGCAGCTCTGAAAAAGTAAAAAATACATTGACATGTACATTGGTGTGCCGAGTAGTATCATCCTTGATTACCCATCCAACCAAGACGTTATCAGGTCCCAGACGCCGAGATCGCACGCCGAATGTGAAGTGCATCTAGCCTTGAACCTGTTGCACAAGGCACACACATATATGACATCCACTCCGATTATTTCCAGACGCCAATCATAACAGAACACAGAAATGAAACCACGCGCTCAACAAAGTACATGTAAACGCAAAGGAAATTAGTTAAAATAATCCATGAAGTGCTATTTTAATTCCAGCGCTGACTGCAGTGTGGCGTCGTGGCCCGATACCCGCTGAGCATAGACACAAGCTCCATTTGACAGGGGCAAGACATACTATTTTGGAATAAAGTCATAAAGTACAGCATTCCAATGACATGACGGACACCTCGTGCAAATGCGTGGTCTGTTCATCCGGCCAACTCGGCCACGCATGAGAGTGTGTGCATGTACGCGCGCACGCAAGCGCGCGCGTGCACACACACCATGTATTCGGTGCGTATGGCGTACCTGTTGCGGAGATATGAAGATGGAATCATTATCATGATGTTACATGTACATGTACAGTGTATGTTTGAGTGTAAAGTAAATTTTATTTTATTACACATTTCTTCGACACAACTTACTCATGATCTTCGCATTTCTCATAATCCATCCACCTACACTCCATCTCAGTTGAGGAAAACTCTCCCAGGTATACACTAGTCACCACAGCCATGTGATGACATTGGGATGGGTCCCAAGCACGATTGCACTCTCCGGAGCTCTAATTACAATAATTATAATTTATTTGTCCAGATTATCTGTGAAGACAAAATGCAATGCATAGCGGCAATCGATGGATGCAGAGAGAGTTTGTAAATACACATATCTTTCCACTTGTTCAGGAGCTTACCTTTTGGAGTTCACATCGTTTACACGACCTCTTATGCTGTCTTGCACCTTGGCTTTGTTGACCATGGATACGCCATCCCAGAAGACATTCTACAGGAGCTACTAATGCAGAGCGTTTTTCACGCTCGATCTCGGCGATCTACCTCGCCACGCCAATAAAATCCTCCGTGACACTGGCTTCAGTCACAGGAGACGTCTCAGTAAGGTAATGAGCACCACAACACCGTCGAGATCAAGGACAAAGAGAAAACAAAACACTCACTGAAAACAGCAAAGAAGAAACGAAGAAATGTACACGATTCCTATTATGTTGCCACTGACAACTGGTTCGATGGAGACGACGCTACTTTTGTTTGTCCCCAGTGGGATCGTTGCTATGCGTATCGAAGGAACTGTGACGTCATCACTTGACACCCCCATTGTACTACTGTAATGGGTAGCCGAGTGGTAGGCGCGGTGAAATCAACAAGAATTACTTTTATTCTACTTTCTTTCAGGTACACACCTGAGATATAATTATTACTTTATTAGTGAAAGAAGAAGCGGCAAAATAAGATTCAAGATCTCTCCGGTGCTCACCTAGAGGTTGACTACTTCTTCCAGTTAGCTTTCATTGCTATCCAATCTAATCTAATCTTCATCAAAACAGAAATGCGCAGCCGCTTTTATGCAGCAGACGACGTACGCTTACATACGGAGATACACTAAATATACATCAGGCAAGCTCCGTATTAGTTCCGTACTGCTTCCGTATTGGTCGGGCAGGGATACTACACCCTCCCTTCCTACAGATTATCACGCCCTCAAGATTTTCAAAAAATTAGTGAAGGGTTACGAACACAGCGTCAACCGGAAGATGGCAAATTATATCGGAAATGATAAAGTTTAGAGTAGACAGAAGAAATGAACTGATAACAAATCATAAAGTAGAAGTAAAAGCACACTAGGTTCACACGATCTCACGGGGTCAAAAGGGAAAGAACTGTGCTCCAAATAGGACCTGAAACCACAGCACTCTTGCTGCACTACGCTGGCACAACCCGCCAGGAACATCGCAGTTCAAAAACCGAACTGAATACACTATAACTATAAGGGGCGTTGTCACACACATTGTCCCACGTTAGCTGGGTAAACCGTGGCTCACCATGATCAGACGCCTACCAAACTAAACTGGATTCACACACTCGCATAAAGGAAGACTGAAGAGAACAGGGAGACTGAAGGAAGAGAGGAAAGAAAATGCCATACCTGGAATCAGCGTTAGTAACCACGGCGGTGGCTGGAGCTATGGCGGAGGGCGAGCCAGGTTTTATCTTCATCTTCGTTGAGCCGGTGACTCAGAGCGGCTAGCTCGGCGTCAGACAAATAACCTCCTTCCTCGTCTTGAATCGTGGTCTTCACGTTGTCGATAGCATCACTTTGCGCGACGTAAAGAGTGATGGTCTAGCCAGGAAGAGTGTTGACGAAAATCTGCATTCCACCACGGAGGCGAAGGACCAAGTGAAGAGTGGGCTCCTGCTTCCGACTGCGTGCTTGCAAAAATCAAACGCTGCTGGTCTTGGGGAATACCCTCCTTGTCTTGGGCAGCAGCCTGCCTGTTTTCGTCCTCATCAGCTTCGCCAGCACCACCGGTAGTATACTTGATGTAGGTAACGGGTCGCTTGGAATCGCCATCGGAGTCTCCAGTGGATGCCGTGCGGAGAGAAGGGTGATCCACGCTAGCACCCTGACTGTGCTGCAGGCCGGCTAAGCAGTGCCAGGCCGAGGAAGGCAAGAAACATGATTCTCATCTTGATTCGTCGCACGGAGCTGCAGCGGGTTGCGCCATGGGGGTCTGGGGTCGAATCACGTTGTTTTATTTTACAAAATACACCGCTGCCACCAATGTAATGGGTAGCCGAGTGGTAGGCGCGGTGAAATCAACAAGAATTACTTTTATTCTACTTTCTTTCAGGTACACACCTGAGATATAATTATTACTTTATTAGTGAAAGAAGAAGCGGCAAAATAAGATTCAAGATCTCTCCGGTGCTCACCTAGAGGTTGACTACTTCTTCCAGTTAGCTTTCATTGCTATCCAATCTAATCTAATCTTCATCAAAACAGAAATGCGCAGCCGCTTTTATGCAGCAGACGACGTACGCTTACATACGGAGATACACATATACATCAGGCAAGCTCCGTATTAGTTCTGTACTGCTTCCGTATTGGTCGGGCAGGGATACTACACTACTCCCTGATTTCAACCCTGCCGAAAAGACCTGTTGCTACATTGTAGTCTCTAACTACAAGTGACTATACGGAACTGTAGATTCGTGTAGAAGTGGACTTTTGGCGGCATATCAGTATTTGACCCGGGTCAACTGTCTTCATGTGCTCACCTATTTTGTCTATCGTACAGACTTTCAACCCGGGCTGAACTCGACCCGGGTTGAAATTAAACACGGCCTAAAATTGCGTGCCGGCAAAGCAAGAATGGACCTTATGCCATTTGTACAGATCCACGAAATCCTGTAGACCCGGCAGGGTGTTGAATGTGCAGGACCCTATTGTGTTTTCTGCTATTTCCCCTAAAAAATGGGGCCTGAAGGTATTTCATACGAAAACCTTTTCTGACAAAGATCTAGGTAGTCATTAGTTCTAACCAAAGTGAAGAAGCTGGAAAAGCGATTGCTGGTCATTGAATTATGACGCTAAAAAGGTCAAATGCACATGCATAGCACACAATGAACACCCTACGGGGTCTATGGGATTTCGTGGATCTGTACAAATGGCATAAGGTCGATTACGATGTGCAATCTGTTTGTAGTACCAGCAAGAATGTGCTGTACATGTACAGTATTTCCTCTGTTGCTGTTTCAGTTGCCGTCATGTAATAAAGTTATTAGACTGATAAAATGCTACACCTGTGAAGTAAAAGAAAAAAAGGCCCAACCCTGCCCTGCCAGCTATTTGGGCTTACGGGGGTCGCCATGGCAAATAATAATATTAAAGAACTATAAAAGACTATAAATAATAATAATGTTATTAGAGAGGTTAAGTTTCACGTAAAAGTCTTACGTCCGTGAACTTTTACGTCAAAAAGTCAAAAAACTCACGTAAAATTTGACATGTTTACGTGAGTTGACTGTCACGCACGTAAGTTCATGACGTGAGTTTTTGGAAGTTTCGCTTGGTTATCCCGATCGAATTTGTGTGAGTTTCCGGAGTTTTATCGATTTTTATCGAGTTTGTTAGAAAATTTAATATATGTGCGAACTAAACCCGAATCCTGCCAGGCAAAATTTCACGTCACGTCGTACGTGTAACTTAACCTCTAAAAATTACACGTAACGTGAGATTAGCACCGCGTTTTGAAAAAGGGCAAAAAACGTGCAACTTAACCTCTCTAATAATATTATTATTACCGTGGTATTATTAACTGGTTTGAGGGAAAGAGACAAACAGGAAAAGTCTGAAGAAAAAATTGACTGTCACCACCAGGACTCGAACCAGGGACCTTCGCTTGTAGCCAGCGATGCTCTAACCACATTATTATTATTACTAGTATTATTTATATTTGAAACTCGGGTATTGTTTATATTGCTAAAGAAAGGTTCAGCGACTCATTTGTTTCGTACGAGATGATTCGGTCCATATGGATATAAAACAGGGTTAAGACAAACTCACAGAACAAAGCAGCTACAAAGCAGGGAGTCCAGGTGACTGAGAGTGAGGAGAGCAAAGCCATTCGTCAGCTCGTCACAAGGCTTCGGATGAGTATGCCACAGCGAAAGCTCGGGAGCAGGCGAAGGGACAGCTTGTAAGTTGTTAGAGGTTGCGCGCCTTGCATTGTTTGTCTCATTGGCTTAACTTTATTCCGCATTTGTCTGTATCTATCTGCATCAACATTTTAGCAGCTGCTATGACTCTCCCTCTCAATCCTCATGCACCACCTTTTATACCCCATGCATCTACGCCGACTCAGTCTGGCATAAAAATAGCCACGCTCAATGCATGTAGCTTAAGATACAAACTGCCAGAGATTGCCAGCCTCATCCGCACGCGTCAGTACGACATCTTGGGTCTATCAGAGACATGGCTACATCCCGAGATTACAGACGGAGAGCTCAGTATTGACGGGTACAATCTGATTCGAAAAGACCGCACTCAACGCTTGGGTGGCGGAGTCTGCTTCTACTACCGTCAAGATCTCCCAGTTCGATCCCGCCCAGATCTGCATTCTGAATCTACAGAAACAGTCTGGGTAGAAATAAACGGAAAACCAGGTCGGCACCTGGTTGGTTGCGTGTACCGGCCACCGGGGGAGCCAGTGTCTTACTGGGCAGATTTGGAAGCAGATATTGTACGAGCAGCTGTGCAGTCTTCTTCCGTGACCCTAGTTGGAGACTTTAATGTAAATATGGACCCAGCCCATCCGGCACCCCAGCACAAACACCTCACCGACCTCTGTGCTGCGTTTGGCCTCCAGAACATCGTCATGCAGCCGACCCGTGAAACTCCACAGTGCCCTGAAGGCACGATGATCGATCTCATATTGACCAACCCGGCGCTAGTGTCCCTAACAACGGTTGTGCCCCACTGATATTAGTTAGTGACCACAGCGCTGTGGAAGCCTTTATTCAGCTTGCCGTTGACGTTCCACCCGCGTCATCCACGACGTCGCGGCTGACCAGGAATATACGTGGCGTTGACATTAACTCTTTTCGGCAAGATATCCTTGAGGCTTCTCTACATGATTTCTCGGATCACAATGATGTAAATCACATGTGGAAAGAGTGGCACACTAAGTTCCTGTACGTTTTGGACAAGCATGCCCCGCTGCACAACTCTAAGCCTTCCCGGAGGGCGATACCTC